TGTTCAGGGTGTCAGAGAAACCAGAGTTATGTTCTCAGGGGAGTCAGCCATGGGGCTGGAACAGGGCGAGATATAATTATGGAATAATGCGTGTTCTTTCCCCACCACTCCCCCCTTTCTAAATTAGCTGTCATGTCACTGGAAACGTTTCTGTGTTCCACAATCAGTCCACTTAACTGTAACAAAGCAGCGCAGATCTATCAGCCTCACAATGAGCTCCGCTAATGACCGCTGAAATTACCAGCTCAGTCCTGCTTCCCAACACCCCGGCCCTACCTCCTCACCCCTCGTCAATCAGTGCTCTGCTTGTGGCCCCACTCAGGGCAAGGATCATGGTGGAGGCCACATCCAGCCACCTGGCACGTTGTCGCTTCGCCATGCAAAGCCGGTCTTCTGGATGCAAAGCCTGGAGGTGGTTTGGTTTATGTCATCTTTTAACTGTGAGGGGGCTGCTGGATTGTAGGGAGGGCTCTAAGCAGCCACTGGAGACGTGAAGGTACAGCCAGCAATAAAATACCAGCAGAGTGCATTGTTCCTGGGCCCTGATTATGCATTTAACTGCATTGCTAAGCACATCTTTTTTCCTTCTCCTCCTCTTTTTTTTGGTAACTGCTCCTCGGAAGTGCAATCTCGCTGCTATTCAGATACAATGCGGCTTCTATTCTCTCTCCCAGTTTTAATTATGTGTCCGCCACTGCTCCTTCTCCAAGCTGGCGGGCTCTGAGATTCATAATTTCAGCCTGACACCATAGTAACCACTTAGTTTGATTCAAGACTCTAATGTCATCACTGGCTGGTCTTGAATAGAGCAGGGAGAGAGGGTATAATTTGAAGGCAGCATCACATAGAAACTGCAATTATTTCTCCCTTTCGGAGGGAAATGTAAACAAAAGGTCATCACTGGTCAGTGCTCTTCATTTCCATCCCCGCACGCTGACAACCTGACTTCTCTGTTTAGTATTTATATCCTCACCCACCCGCATGCCACCACACCAGCACCAAGAGCAGGAGCCGGTGTTAGTTGTCAGCCCTCTGTTGGGATGTGAATACACCCCTAGACCAACTCCTCTGGTATTCAGAGTCCCAGACACCTTTGAAAACCACTCTGAGGTCCCATGAAGAGATCGGAGGGGATGTCCATGACTCCAGAAATGATCCTTTTGGCCCCCAAGATCCATCCTGTCATCTGCCAGCTCAGAGGGATGATACCTCATGGCCACACAGGCTCCTATGAAAAAAGCAGCAGTGCCACAGTCCAAGATGTTAGCCCATGGTCCATGGTTTGCCCCATGTCTGGACACAATCTGCCTGGGAAAACAAGACATGCACAAGGTGAATATTGGCCCGACAGATGAATGTGTACACCCAGTGAAGTGCAATTCACTCGGCAGCATTCCCTGCAAAGCCCACTACACTAAATGAAGCTCTCCTGTCTTCCCCCAGTGGCTCAGTGATAGAAAGGAGTTAAGTGAAAATAAATGCTCATATAAAATCACAGGTATTGATTTTCTGAGCTAGTAAATGAAGGCGCTTTATCTCCGATGGGAGATTGAATATCTGCGTGCCACGCTTTGCTCCATTTTCATAAAAAGGAAGGCATGGTGGAATTATTTTACCTGGCTTCTCACAAAGTGGAGAGGGAGCAGATCCTTGTGTCAATGACAAGAGGTATCAGTCAGGAAGGATGTCATGACAACCATGGAACCATTGAGGATTGGTAATGGAATAAGGAACCTGGGAGGCCGCTCTTGCCCATTGGCTCATCCTTCAGCTCAGGTGGCAATGTCTTTCACAGGTGTCCGCAGTTCCTGACCCCCAGCCAGATGATGGGAACAGGCTGTAGTAACCTGTTCTCTGCGGTTCTTGCTTTGGTTCACTAGAAGGTAATCTGACATCTAAAGAGTTTAATTCCACTGACTGGTTTAAGATGGGAACAAGAGTTTCACTGGTACTTACACCCGTTCTGAGATCTGATGAGTTCTGAGCAGGATGTGATATTGAAATCACAGGTACATTACATCTAATAATCTGCAAAAAAGCCCTTAAAGGGAGCTGCCCATGGCCTTGTGGGGTAGTTTAGAAGATCAAAGCTGACTGATGCAAAGTAATTCATGTAGACAGGGGGAAGTCACACTCACAAAGGTCCTTTTGGAAACACCACCTCTTTTTGACCAGGTTCATCTACACAGGCACTCCTTGAAGTGAAAGAGCTAAAATCTCTGCATCTGAGACCTACAGATCTGTGTTCAAACCTTCCATCTTACCTGGCAGTTACCCATCTTATCAGGCAATTTTCTAGCACTTGCAACCCATCTCTGCAGCCCTCCACCCATTTCGCTGTGCAGTCAGCAGATGTATTTTGCTGCTGGTGTTTTTCAAAGGGGAAGAGATCAAATACGTAAAAATAGACACAAAGAAGCAAGTCATTAAAAAGCAGACCCCGTGCTTTTGCAGCAGAACATGGATTCTTCTGATGCAAACCTGTGCTGCTAACCGTATTTCCACCCTCTGCCTTTCATGACCCTGCACGCCAAGACAAACAGGAGATGATCCAGTTTAACTCACCAACAGGGGGAAATGAAATGGCAGGGGGATTTCAGCCTGGAGTGACTTTTGCATGGGTGAGGGATGATCAGGAGACTCTCATGTTTGTGCCTTAGATCCCAGCTACCTTTTATATCCCCACAGTATTAAGTGAAGAGCCAAGCCTTGAATCGCAGTTTACAGAGGCACATCCACTGATCTTAAACTCCGAGGCTTAAAGAGATTTGGGATGATATTCAGAGTTTAAGAGAGGCTTTACCATGCTGATACGGTCTGAGGCTATTGCTCTGTCCACCCCTAGCCTGACAATTTCTGCTGAGGTCTGAGGGAACAAGACACAACCCAAGTCTATTTGTTTGGTGCAGAAAAGCTCATTTGTCCTGTTGTGGAATTCCACAGGACAAGAAGTGAGAAATTTAGCTCTTGATTACTAATGGTTGAATCTGGGAGGTGGGAAGTGGCAGTGTGTGTCTAAAGAAGTGATAATGTGATAATGTTCACTTTGCTATATGGGAAGCATATCAGACACTGCCCCCATCGGCCCTTCTTCCATCAGGCATTGAACACGGCCTGGCAGGGGAGTGCTGTCTTGATGTCAGGCTCCCAAAGTGCTCTTTGCTGTGCAGCTGCAAAGCAGCACTGTGATAATCAGAGAAATAGTTTTGTGACAGCATCCTTTGAAATGCACTTTATCATTTCTTGGTCATTGTACAGCCCTTCTCAAGGTGGTGTGTGAGCGCCTTCCAGAAGCTCAGATCTGCTCAGGGAGGTGGACACTTGACATGAAGAAATGGAACAAGGCACTCTTTTGTAGCTCTCGATTGAAGCAGTCGAGTCACTTTTGTCAGAAACATAGGGCAAATAGGTGAGATTTCCTTTTTCTTCCCAGTGGGAGGGTTGAACATAAAGCATTATCATTCTGTTTTGGTAGGATTTCGATTCTCATGATGACAATCATTTTACACCACCTGTGATTTTGTTATCCTCTCTTTGCACCTCGTTGTGGGGGCTTTTTTGTAGTGGAGGAAGAGGACAGGTTACTTTTTACTGTTATCCCCCCCACCCACTTGCCTGAGGCCTCTTTTTCAATAAGCTTCTTGCTGCAACAAGCAGAAACAGTCACCCTGCACAACCTCTCCATAGAGTGTGAACATCAATCCTCTCTTATTAAGCTGAAGCTAAAATGCTCATAGACAAACTGTTAAAAAGAAGAAAGCATCCACGCTGTGGTGGAAAAGGTAAAATGCAGTAATTGTCCAAACCTTTCAAGGAAGAATGGCTCAGTAGGGAGGGGAGGACCTTTTTCCTTTCTGTGGCAAATCGCCAGGAAACTCCAGGAAACCTCCCTTCACCAGTATATATTTATTTTTAGGCACAAAAATCACCTTTATTGCCCTTGATTTCTGCACTTCTTTTTTTTTTCCCAAAGACAGGGAAGCAAATCTCTTTCCCTGCCCAGCTTCCTGCACATGCCATCGCTATCTCATTGCCGCTCCTTTTTGAGTGCTTGCTGAATCTGATTTATTTGCAGGCTTCCAAAGGAAAAAAAAAAGGCACTCCCTGCCATGTCTACACAGCAACGAGAGAGAGAACTGGAGCATGTGTAGACATACAGGGTGGATTAATCTGATTAAATTCAGGCTTCTAAGTTTAAGCTAGTCACCCAAAGCTCCTTTCTTATAGTAGACAGACATCTCATCAATATACAGTCGATGGAGCCAGAGGTGTAATTCATCTCATTCCAAAGTAGATGCCTAAAGTAGGTCACACGAATTACACCCTTAAGAGCCTATTTCTCCCCATTGACTACAGAAGGATCCTAGCATGACGAAAGCATTTATAGACGCTGAAACCAGCTCTGTCTGAAGTGACTTCTATCCGTTGCACAAAGCTGCTCCATGCTCTTCAATGCTCACATGAGCAGCTCTTCCTTGACATATTTGATGTTATGGTTTGGCTGTTGTTACTCGCCCCAGGAAAGCAGGACAGGTTCAACAGGGATGAAGGCACAGGTCTCACTGGGGGATCCTGAGGCAACCCAGGAGAACACTGCAGGCACAGCAGAGCAATGCGGGGAGCAAAGTGTCTGTCATGGTATTTTTGTCCTTATCTTGGATATAGTCTGCTAGACAGCCCTGTGTAAGAGGACATGGAATCATAGAATGGTTTGTGTTGGAAGGGACCTTAAAGCTCATCCAGTTCCAAGCCCCTGCCGTGGGGCCAACCTGATCTTGAACACTTCCAGGGAGAGCTTTATGGATGAGTCCTCTGAAAGCATCTTTTGTCAATCAGAAATGAGTAGACCTATGAAAGTCCTCACTTATCACAGTCATCAGACCGTGAAGTAACCGAGGGGCAGAGAAAGAAGATGGCAACGTGATTAAAGCACCAGAATATGTGACTCCATTTCCCACCTGCAGCACTGAAATAATTACCTCTTCCTTCCACCTCCTCAGGTTTATCTCTTGGACCACAAGTGCTGGATGAGAGGGGATGAAGACATAAAGCCGTGGCACAATGAGATGATGATCTTCAGGCTTGATACACACCTCTAGCAATAAGAGTAAGTGTCTGATGGCTGGGGAAGCACCTGAGCTTGTTTGGGCACGTGAAATGCATTGACTGGGTCATTTTGTTGGGGAAAAAGCCTTTTTCCTTTCTCTGCCAAGAGATTCTTTAAATGACCTTTAGAAAAAGAAACAAACAAGGAATTAAGGAAGATGGGATGAAAGCAGCGCTGCGAAATGCACACCAGCCCCCTCAGCTCTCACCAGAAGCCTTCCACAGCAAAAACCAAAAGTCAGAAGTGAGATTTTGATGCCTGGCAAAGATAACTTCTTAAAGGAGAAGGAAAGAACCTGCTGCAAGCCGAGTGCTTCGCGCAGCGGTTTTTAAGCCGGAGAGTCCATATATTATTTAAACCATCCAATTTATCGAGCGGGTTCTCTCTACAGCAGTCAGAGCTGACAAGGGCTCACAGAAAACTTCGCAGAACATTCTGCTTCCAGCCACTCGTGCTCCAGCCGTAGGAAGTTTGCAGCAATAAAGGTCTTTGCTCCTGTCACCTCTTCCCTGCCTCAGAGCAGAAGCTCTGCTGATAGCAACACAAGTCACCTGTGCTGCTTCAGAGAGAGGTGTTGTAGAGCTCCATGGCCCCAGGCCAGCTCCTTCATATGCAGTGATGATTTTACTGGCAACATCATAGCACAGATGTATCAGAGAGAGCAGGAAAAGATGAGCCTTTAATAACATCTATTCTGAGATCTGTTGGAATCAGAATAGCAGGCATTAGCTGGAAGGCAAGTGCTCCCATCCACGGGTTTGAAAAGAGAATTGTGCTTAAAATCCTTTCCAATACCCAGCCAGTGAACTGCCCATCTGGAGTTCCTTGGGTATCAAAATGATGCATATGCATAAAAGGAGGTAGAAGTCCACATGTTTCCAAATAAAACTCACACAGGCAGGGCTCTAAGAAGCTGTGAAGTCGGGAAGGAAACCAAACTTTCTCACCCTTCAGATAATCTGGGGTTTTCATTTCTCAGCCTGTGCTTGGATGAAAAACTTTGCATCTCTTGGTGAGGTACCCAAACAAGCTCTTTCTTTTCCTTAGTAACAATCCTTTTGCCTCTCCTGGATTTTCTCATGCCTGAGTCACAGTGATGTGTTTATATTGGAAATGTAGCATGTGAGCAGATCTCCCTTAACTAGTAGGGGCTGGAGAGAAGCAGCTGAACAAGTCCATGCTCGTACATGCACAGGCACACACACACTGGACCTAGCACAGCTAGTTATAAATCTCATAAACTGGCAAGAACTACGATCCTTATGCTGCCCATAAATAATTCACTGCCAAGATGCTTGTAGGAACAGCACCTTCTGCATAGTCCATGGGAAATTCTAACGGGTACCAAGCCCTTCTGACTCCAGTTATTAATCCTGTTTATTGCTGCAGTGCCAAAGGGCCAACACAGAATGAGCTCCCTTTGGGCTAAGCACTGTATAAACACAGACTCTTGAGTTTAAAAGGACCCTGGGAGGAGAAATCTCTGGTATAACTGTGTTAGCCCAGCACCAGGACTGTCAAGAGTCAAAATCTCTTTCCAAGAAGCAGCAATAGCTTTTAGGCAACATTCTGTTTTATATTAGAAATAGACCCAAGCTGCTAAGTCTGGAGCCTGATAAGGATGTGAATGTCTCCAGCTCTAAAGGATTCAGGTGAGTTTTGCTCATTAGAGCTGTCTCTCTGCAGCACATTGCCTCCATTGGGAGGAAGTAAAAAAGAAGGGAGGTAGATTTCGCCCCTTCTTCTAGGAATGCTTTGTTTCAGAGATGTAATTTACCTGCCAAGAGGCACATGTCCTCAAACAGAGGGGCTGCCCTGAACTACTGATGTGCAGAAGTCCCAGACATGGTGGCTTTCCCACATGCTGCTTCATGGAAGCATTTATGGGGAAGAACAGGGACCAGTTTCTGTGCCCTCTCAGCCCTGGGTTGGGTTGCCACAAAGAGGAGAAGCCATGGAGCAGGTGCTTTCTACAACAGCAGTAATCAGTGAATGAATGAGATTTGTTCCAATGGCAGATTAGACCATCACCAACCTTGACCAGTGACCTAAGAACAGAAGGATCTAAAACCATCCCATTATCTTGTGAGACAAACTGTCCCTTTCCACTGTGGTTTCTAAATACACTCTGGTGAGGGCTGAGTTTTCAAAGGAGTGCTGAAAACGTTCACTTCAAGGGGTCTCTTTTGCTTTACCCAACTAAAAGTGGGTGAGAGAGGATTCAGCAGATGTAGCTGTAATCTTCCCTCTACCACTCATTCTACTGCAGCTTAGAAATGGCATTTCGGTTGCCTTAGTAGAGAAGAGCTACAGGTCTACAAAGCTCTCTGAGATCTACCTTTAATGCTCCCAGTCAGGAACAATCAATATTATAGATTCTTTTTGTTTCAAATCCTGAATAACAGCCTTCATTTTTCAAGGGGCATGACCCAGCTGATGGCTCCCTGAGCAAACCCTCTTGCTGTGACTTCCACTGGCCATGGAGTGCAGGAGGTGAACCGCTCACCTCATCATAGGCTAGCAGAAGGATCTTGTTCATACTCCAATGTACAAATCAACCTGTCTACACTTCCCTCCTGCCCATTCCTGATGGAACAAGCTGCTTGGACTGGTTTCACACCGTCTTCCAGAAGGCCATTAATACTGTTGAGCTTAGCATGGAGATTGGACACACCGTGGGGAGACTCCAGCATTCAGCTCTGGCAGCCTTTTTAGAGGGAAGTTTAATAGGGATGCTGGTTCCCCACACAGCTGTAAAGGGGAGGAACTGGTAACACTGGGCAGGGAGGGAGTCATAGGACCTGTGGTGGTCTAAATGCAATGAACAGCCTCAGGCTGAGCCTTGAGTCTGACCCTGGGGACTGTGGCTGTGGGCTGCAGCCTCTGAGGTGAAATTCCCTGGAATCTGACATTTATGTGTATGTATATAATGTAATCTTGTAAGCCATAAAGCAAAGGCTGGCTCTACCTCTTCCAAGGTGGGTTTCCCAGTAACGCCTTAAATGAAGTGTCTCAAATAAGGATTTAATTTAGACTCAATAGGGAGAGTTATTGCTCCGTAATGAAATAGCGAGTAGTTATTGCAAACACATTTAGTGAGGTTCAACAGCCTCCTAATAGGGATGTAGAAGCTGTGACCTGGCCAGCAACATTCAGTGAATATCTTAATCATCTTATACAGGGTTTTCCTTGCTCAGTACACAATTACTATTTCATTACATTTGTATTAAGCAGCAGCCATGGGTGGGAAAACCCAACCAGTTCTTCAGCGTTGGCTGCTATTGTCACCCCTCCAAATCACAACCAGTAGTGGCATTTGGAGTTAAATTCAATGCTGCTTTCCCCTCCATGGCCTATTAAATGTACTAAATTAAGGCTGACATCAGGTACTGGAGACCTGGTTTGGAGTGCGGGGTGCTGGTATTTCATGAGCTGCTCAGGAGAGATTTATAACCTGAAATGCGGTGTCTGCACCACTTTCAGTAAGAACCCAGTTCTCTTTGGGCCACAGTAGGATCACCTCTGAGGTGATGCTCAGATCTGAGGATCCTGTGCATCCAAGGGAAATGAAACCAGGCTCAGTTTGAGGCAAGGAGGCTCCTCCAGGACAGGCAGCAGATAGAATACAGGATGGGGTAGAAAGCAGAATCAATGACTTTAAGAGAAAAACTACGGTCACACCCCATGCTGTCACAAAACAGAGCCATGCCCCAGCTAACAGAGGAGAGAATCACACTTTCTTTCCACCAGCCAATGACTTCAATTGATCTAATGTAGGAAGTCATCCCAGCTAACCCTAATTTTATAGGGTCTAATGGTCGTTGCTTAGCTGTGATCACACTTCACCCAGTGTGTGAAGAAGACACAGGTCAAGTTAGGGTGGATGTGAAGGCAAGTAAGAGATTATCGGCTTTACAGCTGTGGAAAATGAGGCAGGAAAGGCGGGTGGAGGGGAATAAACCCACCCTGATTGAGTAAGGCAGCTCCTTAGCACATCACACACTGCATGAATGGATCCTGAGCAATGACAGAGATCTCTGCTCTGTATTGCTGTTAAAGATTACTCTGCCTGTAATCTGTGTTTAGGATCTAAATGGCCCATGACAAAAGGCCTCTGATTAAGCTTTGTTACACTTCTGGGTAAAAGTGGTGCTCCTGAAAAGAAAGCAACTGAATAAAGATGAAAGGGAGATGCAGGCTCCCAGTGCAGGAGGCTCTGCAGTGCCAGGTCCAAGTTTCAAGTCATTCTGGGTCAAACGTAATGTTCTACACAAACCATTTCATTTTAGGCTTTGGGGAAGTTGTTGTAGAGCTGTAAAACACCCATAGAAAACATCACTTAGGTTCCGTTTCTCTGCTTTGAGGAAAACTGTTCAGGTGTTTTTCAAACAGAACCCATCCACCCAAACATTGAAAGCTGCAAAATTATTTGGCTATAATTCAACAGAAAATGCTCGCGAGTGAATCCATCCACCTTCACTATCAGAGGAAAGCAGCTTCACATTCAAGGTTCTTTTCCCAGTGGGATTTTACAAAGCTGAGAAGAGAATTTTATGTTTTTCTCTAATTTTCTTTAAAAATGATCCCAGAATTGGCTTTGGAAGGACTAGGGTGGCTGCAGGGAGAACCAGCAAATTAAACTCGCTCCAACCAAACCCAACAAACAGAGCAACATCATCTGCACTTGGGGAAAGGCAAAGATATAATCAAACAGCACAGTGCACAGGGAGCCCATCTTCTTTCCCTTTAGCAATCCGAGTACTCGCTGTTATATCAGTGAAGACATGCTTTTGAACCACTACAGCTTGTACCAATCCACAGCCGTTTAGCAATACAGGGCACACACAACCTCAGCTTAGAGCTCTGCTTTTTTGCTTTCCCTTAGGACAGGTGAAACGCTGCATTACACAAATGTACAACAAGCAAGTGGCATCTCTGCTGAGCGACACGGAGGACACTTGGTGGGCACATGCATGGCTCGAAGGCTAAGGCCTGAAGTGATGAAGGATGTGTGGGAGGGGAATCCCTCTTTCCTCTGAGATGGCCATTGTGCTGTGGAGGGGAGAGGCTTTTTATTACATGTCAGCCAAACTGCATACAAAGTAGTGTTGCCACAGGGTGCAATATAACAGCTTCAGTGTCTCTCAGGACACTGACTGTGAGAGGGCTTGTTGGCCAATTGGTAGTAGAGGGGAAGGAACAGAGGGAGTAAAGCACCAGTTATTACGTCCCCATTGCCAACAAGGAGGTGAAGGCATGGTCTGTCAGAAGCAGGAATCAGGCTGAAATCCTCAGCTTGGTGAGCAACGCAATGCTTGTCACACACAGCAGAATGAATTCGTTTTCCTAACTCTTTGCCACTGAAAAAGCGATTCATAGCTCCCAGGTCAGGGAGCGGAGGGAACCTGAGTCGCAGAGCGTTACTGGTACAACCGCATGGGTGGTAGTGCAGAAAAGAGTTCTTCCATTGCCTGGAAGAACCATTTCTCTTTTCCCTTAGAGAGTATTGTTCATAAGCCCTGGATCCAATCCAAATACACATCTGTTCTCACGGGTCCACCCAGTTCTCATACACAGAACTGAATGTACATTTTGGCTACTGAAGCATTCAGGGTCTGGGCCACTTGTTTGTTCCAACTGGCTGCTGAGTTAAGCAGCCAGAACAGAAGGCCAGAAGCTTCCCAGTGACTAACTGGCCAAGACCCTGTATTTGTAAACCTTATGGGCTGAATTCTGCTCTTCTTTGCCCTCCTACATAGACACCCTATAAAGGTGAGGGAAATTGCTTCATCCTATTAATTCAGCAGTAACAGGCAAAAGCAGAGGAAGGTCTGAATGACCTCTGTTTTTCAAGCTTATACATTGCTGTTCCAAGGGAGAAAAGAAGTGAAATTCCTCCCAGCCCCAAAGGCACAACAATGCCCCTACAGATGTCAGATCAACTCCCTCCTTTATATCTCTCTGAGATCTCAAACAGCTGCTTCGTTATTCCCGAAAACAAAAGGGCAGTTGGTGTTCCAGCTGTTTCAGCTTGCAAGTGAAGGATTTCTTTCTTGTCTCCCCACAGCATCCATACCAATTGCTTTCTGTTGCAGTTCTGTCATCTAATTAGCAAGGGCAAATCACTTGAGCACAAACTTTTCCTTACACCTCTGCCCCACCTGAGCCCCATCACTCATTAGATATACAGCAACATCCAAAGGAGGTATCCCATGGACAGAAGCAGGAGAGAGCTGAAGTTTCTGGTTATTTCCTGAATGGGGGAGATTAATAGAGCAGGAGGAAACCTGTAGGTTTAGCATTCAGGTCCTTTTCTGTCAGCCCTTGAGCAAACAGCAAAAGATAGCCACAGGCAATCAAATAAAGCAGGATGTACGTGTGTTTGAGAAACTCCTTCCTCAAACCCTCCATGGTTGTTCCGAAAGGAACATTTGGTGTACCCCCAAAAAAGAAGCATTTCCAAAGCATCAGAAAGGTGAGGTAGACAGAAGAAGTGGGAGGAGAGGACAAGGAACTGATTTATCCAAATTGAGCCTGCAAGGCCACATCCCATGAGCTAACTCCTCCAAGGTGTCCAAGCCCTGCTTGCCCTCGGAGGCTGGACCATGAACCTATGGAGGTTGCCATCACCCCGGGCTGGGGCATCACAGCCCTTTGATCCCATCTCCACTGCAGGGAACGCTGACTCCTCGCTCCTTCCGATGCAGAAATCTCTCCAATCGCACCTCTGGGGAGAGAGGAAATTGTCAGCAAAGTAAATTGCTTTTTGGATTGCTTCGTGTCCCACTGTGAGAGCTTCACTTCAGGAGCTGCCATGGGAAGGGGTGAAATGGTCAGGTGAAAACCCCACATCCCAGAGCCTGCTGCAGGGACACCATATATCAATAAACCAATTCCTCGAGGCTGAGGCAGGAGCTGCTGCTTCTTTGGAACACTAGAGTTTTCTGCTGAAGCCATGGGGAGAGAAAGGCTCATCTCATACCTGAATAATAAATGCAGGCAAATAAGTAAATAAGCAAATCCTGCCTGATACATGCATTATTAGCTGCAGTAGGAGCAATTGCAAGAAGAAAGGGAAGTGACAGCTGCAGGCCCCAGATAGCCAAGGCACTAAAGGGGAGTTTTAGACAAATGTCCTTCAGATAATGGGTTTGTTTCTCATCTACTCTGGGGAGGGAGGTGGCAGATAGGGGAAGCATTAGCAGGCTGTGCCACACGTAGGGAGCAGAGATGCTGCTGGACCAACACTCGGCAGGAATAATTTAGCTCCTTTCTTTTCATTTCAGCTCCCCAGTGTATCTGACTTTGTTTAAAGCGATGTGGGTTTCACTGCCCTTACCATCCCTGATCCCATAGGGAGAGGGGAAAGAGGCTCCTGGGATTAGCTTCTTTATAAACGTATCTGTTGCAGGGCTGGGAGCTCAGATTAATAAAATCCCAGGGTGACCTCTGGGAATGGGATCACAGGCTCTGGGAATGGGGGGGGGGGGGGGGGGGGGGGAATGGAAACGATGCAATAGCCCAACAGAGACAATCCAGACACTGCTATCAGGAGATCCCTTCTGCCAGACATCGCAGGGACTTGCAGAAGTAAGGTCTGCCAGCAATATCTCATTCACCAGGGGGTGTTTCCTTTCCCTCCTCGATAGATTAAATCCTCCCTTACCTTTGCATAGTCCAAGTGTGTTGCCTAAAGCAATGCATTTCAGCACAGCAGCTTTGCATCTCTTCCACAGGACCTTGCATCTCTTCCTGTCTTTGTGAGCCCTGGGCAGCCTGATCTTAAATCTGTGTATCCCCTCTGCCAGATGCTGCTCTGACAGGACACAGAGATGACACAGCTTGGTGGAGACCATCATCCTGCTCCAGACCTTGCACCAGATATCCAAGCTATGGTTCCTGGAAGCTCACTATAATCTCTTGCCTTGATGCTTCTCCCACTAAGGATGAACTGAGGCAATTCACCTCCCTTTTTTTTCTACTGACCAGCTCTACCCATGCCCCTAAAACTGGAATTCAGAGCCCTACTTGTTGCCCTTCTCCTGTGAGGCACACACCTTTTGCTGCTTTAACCCATGGCGCTTTTCCAGTCACACAGTAATGAAAGCTTTTGGCTGTTTCAGGAGCACAGGAAAGTGTAGGTGATGGAAGGCAGAGGGAGAATGACTGCCCTGTATAGCATTGCGCTCCGTAATAACAGTGTGAGAACCAGTTGCAATTTGCTGGGGATGATGACACCGAGGTCAGACGAGCTGTATTGTAATTTACGGCCAAGAAAATGTAACCAGACAATGCAGGATCGCTCTTCCACTCGTTATGAACAAAGAGCATGCAGCAGGAAATCAGAGAGGCCTCTCTACAAGACCCCTCTGCCTTGCGCTTAGCTCCATCTCAGCCTAATTACACAGCCTGGTTTACATTGGTATCATCTCCTGGCTCTCCCATGTCCCCTTCTCCCTGTGAGTCATTCAGAGCCATTAGCACAGATTGCACAACCATGCTTGGGATTCCCCGAGGGCAGATAGAAACTTTCCATGCAAAATAGGATCAGTCCAGCCAGGAGCAGCACCCAGGAGGGGGGATTTCAGCCTGAGTGGTTAGAACTTGGAGAAGTTGTAAGTAACAGAAAGTGGAGTCTAATAATAGGAAATGTGAGGCAGCCTTAATAGAAAGCACATCATGAGGCCTGTGCTCTGCATAGAATGTGTCGTCTCTGACTTAATTGCTCATCACTTGGGTACATAAACAAAGACTGGTGCTGTGACTGTGCAAGTGGCAGGGCTCATTCCACCCTGAGCTCCTTGCTGCTAAAAAAAGGCTTGCTCTGAACATCATTCCCTGCCTGGGAGAACAGCTTTCTATGGACACCGGTGGGCTTCAGGGAAGGGGAGTTAGGAGGTGGGATGGGTACGGGTTGGAAGGTAATAAAAGCAGGATTGCAAGGGGGTCATGGAAATTATGGGTACATTTGGTTATTGATTTCTTACAGGGATCTAGATGAATCCCCTCTGGAGACAGGTGGGATAGGTTCATGTTAGCACAATTCCTCCACTGGCTCCTCACTCCCATCATCAGATGAACCCTCTGAGTCTGGGGTAGGAAGGGGAGAGAAGAGGGAAACAGTGCAGTTATTGTGTTGTGAGAGAGGGACAGTGGGTCTGTGGTCCTTCTCATCCAGGAGAGGTCGGTCCACACCGTTAAGTGGAGCATCGCATCTCGGACCTGCCCTGCTGCATCAGGAATGGTTCCTATGGAGGCAGCTGACCCCCCCCCACATGGTTGTGACACAGCCTAGCTATTTTCTCCTTTACCCACAAAGACATTCTTGTCCTGTGCTGGATGTAAAGACAACAACCCCATCTGGGAGGCCAGAAGGGCAGTCTCCATCACACTGGGAAGTCTGCACAGCAGCACTGACATCCCTTCTGCAGCTGTTTCTGCTTGGTCCCTGGGGCTATCCAGGATATTTTTGATGGCCAGAAGGGTATATACACACATCTCCTATATATGTGTGCATGGACTTTGGTGGGCGAGAGCAGGATCCCGATGTTTAGAAGTCACAGGCAGTAATTTCAGCCCTTTGCAACTAGCCTGAGGAGTCTTTAACTCTGCACCAAGCCGGTGGCCACCACATGGCATTGAAGGCTGAATTTCCTTGGCTTGCTAAGCACCGTATTAGCATCCTGGTCTGTCCCTGCTGGAACAGAGCTCCTTGGCGCTTGGCTTGGCAACCCTTTCTGAAACAGCCTTAAGGGTTATCCATGAGAAATGCCCAAAATCTGGTATTCCTGATCGCATGACTGGCTGGTCTCCTACGGCAGGAGGTGTAATGAAGTGTTGGTCTCTGGCAGCAAACAGGTCTAGACAGATCTCCGGGCTGTTTCTAAATGGCAGAGGATGAATGGCCAGCGGTGAAAACTCTCTGCTCTCGGGATGCTGCTGTTTGCAACAGTGTCAGTGCCCCGGAAGGTAATGTGAGTTATCCCATGGCAAAGAGATTCTAATTTGTCTTTGGCTCAGCCTTCGAGGCTGTAATCAGTGCTGCTAATCTTTAATAAAGGGGGTTCACAGGAGCCTTTGTTTATAATGACATGGTGGGTGATAGCTCTTTCTTGTTCTAATCCCCTCTCAGAAAGCATCTGATGGGGAAAACGTCTCCCTTGACAGTTTGCTTAAATTTTCATTTGCCAAAACGCTGAATAAACTCCTTGTTTGTCTAATGGAACTAGAAGGAATTGTGACACTTTTATTGTTTGTTTACTTCCTCACTGGGGTACCAGCTAAATTGAAGGTGTCATCGCACAGCAATGAGAATCCAGCTTCTTAATTTAACTGATTGGTTTGCAAACAAGGGTCTCCAAAGCACCGTGGAGCCATACAGGCTTTTCCAATGACCACAGGCTGAAACACAGCAGTGAACTACAAGCAGGAGAAGCAATACAATGGGCAGGTAATCCTAGAAAAGCTGCTGCTTGCACAAGGTATCACACAGAAGCACCGGTCAAACGGCATCTGGAAAACTGGCAAAGCAAGCAATACATTCTCCTATAAATCCTATATAATTAGCAGCTGCTGCTGGATTAATGCTAGCATTAATGCTGAATAGGCAGAGGGGAGGCTGGATTGCTTGCCTGAATTCCCTCTGTTTATTCCCTCTTGTTACCCCCTTAAAACCAGGAGTAGAGTTACTCACGCTTGCGCTAAGCAAGTGGAGGAGGCAGCACTCAGGATGCAGACAGAGGAGCAGTCCCCCAAGGAGCGCTGAGATTTTCAGACAGATCAAATGTTGAGCTTCAGGTAATTGGCAGAGATCCTTTAATGTCTGAGTTTAACACTCACCTACTAGAAGAGAACACAATTAGGCAATGAGATGTGGAAGAGTCTGAAGTGCCAGGTATAATAACTCAGCCGTAGTACGCTGTTCAGCGGAAAGCTGAAGGCTGAGAGCTGTCAATTACACCGGGGGTGAATTAATACAACCAAATTCACGCACTGAAGCAGCTTATTATTACTATGATCACATTTTATTAGGAAGCAGTTTGGATGAGGTTGTTTTTTCCTTTAATTTATTTATCTATGTTAATTTTGTACAGAGGCAAATTAAGTTCTGAGGTGGGAATTGTATTCATTCCACTGCTTGGAAATATTTTAATAGCCGATTAGGTCGTTTGCTGGTTGTTGTTTTTTTCTGCCTCTGTTTTCTGTTCATTATAAAGATAGCGTTTGGTTTACAATGTTCACAAGAAACACTGTGAGAGAGCAAACTACAACCCCTCTTGGTCCTCATCCCACACAATATTTACTAGTCACCCCCTGAACTCAACTTCCTGACCATACATTACTTTGCCTCCCCCATGTGCATTTTAAGGCCTTGCTTTTCCAGGGCAAACAGAACTCAGTGCTACAGTCAGGAGGAGGTCTCTCCATCCTCCCCAAGGCAAATAAACTGCATTTCACTCTTACAGCAAGTACGGGGGGGCCAGCAATCTGAATCCACAATTGAAGACAATCATAACTCAGCCACATCCAGCAAATAATCATGGAATCCCAGACAGGTTTGGGTTGGAGGGACCTTAAAGCTCATCCAGCTCCAACCCCTGCCACAGGCAGGCACACCTTCCACTAGAGCAGCTTGCTCCAAGCCTCATCCAGCCTGGCCTTCAACACTGCCAGGGATGGAGTAACGTCACATAATGAGGATGTGATGGTGCTGCATCATCCCGGCCTTCCATCAGCAGCACTGCTCTTTGAAGCATCAATCCGATCTTTGTGGAGGAAGAGTAGAAAAAGGGTTGGGAGAAGAAGAAATAATTTCTGTGGCCTCTCTTGTTTCCTTACACAACGACACAAGGGAGAAACGATAATACGTGAAATCCCACCTGCCCTGAGATGATATTGAGAGAGGTTTTGCCCATCCCATTCAAAGAAACAGAGATGTCTGAGTATTTGCCACTTTTACAGCTTAGACTGCGAGTCTCAGCTTAGAGACATTCATTAGTTCTTCACCTGGAGAGAGCTGTGCTCCAGGATTGTCCTCCCCTGTATGGCACGGGTGATGTGGGGTCTGTGGTCTCACCTCTCTGCTAGTCATTTGCCTGTGGATGACAGCCACAGCGCCAGGGCTGACCTGCTCTGAATGGGAAGAGCCTTTAAATGCCCCACACTGAGAGAAAAGGACCCTCCATAGCCTTGGCCGCAGCTATTTCAGCACAGGCTCGACAACTCCAGCTGCTAACATCAGGAACTTGGCGGAATCCTACAGTAACGTTTTTCTTTGGCTTAATTACCACAATAGACAAATTGGAAATTGGCCCATCATGAAGATAAATAGCAATAAAAAACCACAGCGGAGGAAAGTGCTCCTGCTCAATTACCATTAACCACCCACCAGCAGCTACCTGGCCGAGGGGAGAGGGGAGCCTGCGAGCAGCCCCTCACCTAGGCCCTCAGTGCTCCCCCCTGATGCTCCTCGTCGCTGCACCGCTGGGGCACTTTATGTCCCATTTTGCTTTCAGTGCAATTATAAAAGGCCACTTGCATTCACCACCACCACCCCCCTCTTTGTCTCCCCACCCCAAGATCTCTAATAGTCTAAATTATCAGCAAATTGCCTATTTGATAAGGGCAAGCCGTTCTGCATTGAGAGCTGAACTATTTCCCACTTCTGGGGGATAATATTAGGCAAATAACAAGCATCATTCTTTTGACATGTACAATTATTTGGCAAGTGTATGTTTGAATAGCCTGCTCCTTTGTGTGACAGGGTCCGTTCCCCATTAGCATACTTGACAGATGAATATGCTGGGTCCTTGTGGAAAACCTGGCAGTAACCATGGTGACTGGGAGACAATGTTTTGAGTGAGGGATGTATTACCAATTTCAGCTGGAAGTAAAGGAAAG